ATTGTTTAACAGTGTGATTAATTATGATTAATTTTTTTTAATCGGTTGACAGCCCTAACTTACCTGTCATGTGATGAACTACACCTTATGTGATGAATTACTTTTACTGAACCAGGGCTGACTGCAGACAGACACCAGAGATGCCAGCTGTTAGCCAAGCATGGAAAGCAGAACTCGGGATCTTCAGCTCCAAAAATAGGCCTTTGTCACTTGAGCACAAAGAGAATTACCACCAGTTCTCCCTAAAATTGGAGCTTTACTTTATCTTTTTCGGCTAGTTTCTAGAGAGGGCATATAATCATAAACAAATGGGCAGGGCAGGCAGGGATGCACACATACATAACAGCCACTACATCACCCCCTTTTTGTGAGTTAACACCTGGTTGTCATGGCAATTGCACCACATCCTTCATTGTGATATCCTCTAGCCCAAGCAAAGCTATTGAGGCAATGGACAAAAGTCAGTGCTCAATTTGGCCTCAGAGAGAGACAGTTGGTGCTGTGCTGTACTGCAGCAATTTTGACAATTTCTATTACATAGGATTCAAGATTTGGAATTCGACCTCAGAAGTAAGTGAATTTTTTCATGTACCCAATATAAGAAAACTGTGTGAGTTTTTTTAATGAATGGAGTTGTGGGGGCCACAGGGGTTTCAGCCTAGTTCTTAGTGGGCATTAGATAGATTAATCCTGTAACTTTGAACCTAGATGATTCCAAATGAAAACAAAGCTAACAAAGAAAAGCCTGAAAAGAATCTTAACCTAGTATGGCAGGAATGATAGACAGAATGTCAACTGAGACGCTGAATCAAACAGCAGCTTTGACTTTCAAGACATTTCAGGCATACCTGAACATTACTTGGGGTCTATTCTTTTTTAAACTGTCTGTTGTCAACTTACACCAGTGATTTCAACTCCTTCAGTCATGGGGGTTTTAACATGGATCATTTGTTGTTCGGGTGGATATTTTCATTGTAGTTAGTGCTGGGGGTTGAGAGCCAGACTTCTGAGATCTAGTCCCCAGCTTTGCCATTGGCTTGCTTTCAGTACTGATCTGGCCCATATAAAGAGCAGTGTTCTCAGGATCAATCCCCTAATCCACTCAGTTCTCTTCATAATATATTTTATTAACATCAGTTCTACTTCAAATTATGAGATCTTAAAAGACTAAGAATAAAATCACATCCTGCTTGAAATAATCTAAGAAAAATCAATTTATGGCCCTTAAATAATTCTCCCCATACTAATCCAGGAGTCCATGTCATGTATTGTTATGTGTCTTATAAATTCAATATCAGTGAGGCTCACTTTATCCCATATATGCACATATTAGTGGTATCTGTGTCCATTATAAGATGGGTAACCCCTTGCAAGTTAAAATCTAGTTGTTTCACTATCCCCTCACTTGTGCCCACTCCCTGTTTTATGGATTGCAAAGACAATGATTAGGTGACTAAAGCAGCTCCACTATAATCCTAGTGCAGTTGCCTGTGTATTTTCCACTTCTGTGGGCACAATGGGTAGATCTGGCAAAGGATTGTTCAAGGAGCATGTCTTGCCCTGCAGCACCAAGGGCTTCACTGTCTGACTTTTCTTTATATTGAAGGACTATTAACTTCATTATAGAAATAAGGACTCAGAGAGAGTTAATGCCATAAGAATTGCTCAGAAATTATTTGACTCTTGGTTTACAATGCTGGTTTTTAATTTATTTCATGATCATATTAACTGCCTTGAAAAGGCAGCTGCTAAATGCCTTTCCAACTGCTACAAACCTAATTTTGAACTTGTCCTAAAGAAAGCAGCAGAGCCTACTCCACTGTCGCATTAGCTTACTGGGTTTGTTTGCTGGGAAAAACCTTAAATAGGACCTGATCAGTCTCTTAAACAGAGGGATATTGTATGAGATATGGGAACAGTTTTAAGGCCATCTTCAGCTGCAGAGATCACCTCATTGTTTAATTAATTCCTTTGCCCTATCACTAATGAGATGAGTACCAACCTGAAAAACAGTCCTATCTTCAAAAGTCAATAATAATCCTCTGTCTAGCCAGTGATCCTATATATATATATAAAAGCAATCACCACATCTCTCTAACCATCTATCAAAGTAGGGAAGTATTATTTCCCTCTCACATAACACAAGAAAAAGGGGTCAACCAATGAAATTAATAGGCAGTAGATTTAAAACAAAATGAAGTACTTCTTCACACAATAGTCAACCTGTGGAATTCATTGCCAAGGGATGATGTGAAGATCAAAAGTATAACTGGGTTCAAAAAAGAATTAGATAAATTCATGGAGGATAGATCCATCAGTGGCTATTAGTCAAGATGGTTAGGGACTCAATCCCCATGCTCCAGGTATCTAGTTCTAGTGCTAGACACTGGGACTATACAACACTTGAAATTGCCCAGTAATGTTCATTTCTTCTGAAGCATCTGGCACTGGTCACTTTCAGAAGACAAGGTACTCCCATTGTCCGATCATCTCTCTTTAACCGCATGGAAGATTTCCCTAATATCTAATATAAATGTCTCTATTTTTATTCAATTAAGGTCTGAGAACCCATTAGTGGATGGACTACCTGAAGTCAATGTTGGATTCTTGGTAAGAAGATCAGAAAAGTTTTACATTGTTCCCACTGTACAGAGTGTATGCGGGGGTGGGGGAGAAGTGACAGGGGAAAAGGTCAGAGTGTTGGCCACATAGTGTAGCCAAAAAGCCTCAGAATACCGTGTAGGCCACTGACAGCTTCAAACATAATCCTGAAGGCAGCTCTGCTTAGTGTATTGTGTCGCATGTCTCCTTCTGAACCCCCTAACAGTTGAGTGACTAAATATCTGGGTTCCTCTCAGAGATCCCTTTCTAAAATAATATTTTAGGTGCCTCAAAAACTCATTAAGCCACTCTTTTAAATCAGGTTTCCTGCTCAATGCTGGAGTCAGCAATCCTTTATCTCCTCTACTGTTCACAGCATTCCTTAAACCCACAGTTCATAAATTGCTTTGGTTATTGGTAAAATACTCTTATTAGGAACTCATTGGGATATTGTCTGTCATTTTACACAGAGGAACAGAATAATAAACATACTGTGTTTTCCAACCCTAAATCGATAGACTCCTCCCTGTGCCCTACCCATTCCTAACATTTTGTTGTTTCCATTTAATTTAGGATGAAGGCTCCATCAAGGGTCAGACCATGTGTCCACACCCAGTTTTCAGCTACTTTTTGGCCCTTCACATACTTTTTCTTGCCAAATGAAGCCTCTTCACCTCTCTAAAAGGCAGATCCATCCTCCTTCATCAGGTAATTCTGGCAATGAGCATACTCCTTGCACTAGGTTAGAGTACTTTGGAGGCTGCAGGGTTTCAGGTACATGTGTGGAACAGGGCCCCAATCTTTCTGAAAATATGGATGCAGCACTGTTCAAAAAACTTTTCCTTAGCCAAGGGTGTGCCTCCTGCCTGGACCCCAGCAAAGTCTGGGAATGCCCATATCTGGAGCTTGGGACCCATTTTTCTAGTTTATGATGCTCTCAAGAGTGAGAAAAGAAGGGAAATAGGAACAGAAAATGCAGCAGTCACATGTTTAGTGTGATCTCAACTTTGCTCTCTGTATTTCACTGGGACTATAGGGTAGGCAGGGAGTGAGGAATAGCTCTACTCAGAGGACAACGTACTTACAAAGGTATTTCTACAGTGCAGTTTGGGGAAGGGGCAACTGAGAGCTCCTCCAAAGATCTCAATCACTTGTAAAGAGATTATTCCCTAAAATCCTTTGCCTGTGAGTAATGTAACACTCCATCCCTGATTCAATGGAGTTTATTTTCTCCTTTGGTAGTGACCAAGACCAAGAAGAATGGCTGATGAAATAAAGCACATGGTGGGACAGCTGATGGCCATATAGGGATTAGGGAGTCATGGGGCTCACTGCTTTTCCTTTCTCTTGCCCATTTAGCTGATATGAGAATTTAGGAGTCTGCAGGAGCCCAGTTCCCCAAATTGATTTGAAATTTTTGTTGATGAAACAATAGAGATTTTATTAGACGATAGAAGAAAGTTGCATTAAAATTGATTTTACCAGGTGGTGGGATCATTCAGTGTTATTAATGTAAATTATGGTATATGAGGAGGCAGGAGATACATGAGACAATTCCTTTCCTGATACTCATATTTCGTTTCCATTCATGTTATTTTAGGATGAATACTCCATCATGGGTTCATTTAATCAGTGACTCTCCCTTGCCTGCCCCTGTACTCCCCGAGGCTCCGTTCTTCATGCTTTATGAAACTTTCCTCAAACAGACTGGACCCTCTACCCCTGAGTGAGTATTGGGATTTCTTCATCTCTTTATCTGTATGTATATTGGGGAGGGTGCATGTCCAAGTTTGTGCAGGGCTTTGGGTGTAGACAATATGGTTACCACATTTCTAAAAAGATAAACACATAACAATATATTTGCTGCAGTCATTGTAAGGAAGAACTACATTCTCTCTCACCCTGGGCATTTTCTGACCAACAACCAGCTCCAACCATTCCTCCTCACGTTAACATTCTCTTGCAATGCAAATACACCTTTCCCGCAATCCTGACTTCACCCTGCTACGATCTAGTTAGTGATTGTCATATTGTCCCCTATCACTGCACTTCAGTGGAAGGGAAAAGTCTGAACGTATTTGCAGAGTGATTCAAAGACTCAGGGTATGTCTACACTACCCGTCGGATCAGCAGGCAGCGATCGATCCAGCGGGGGTCGATTTATCACATCTAGTCTAGATGCAATAAATCAACCCCCTACTGCTCTCCCATCGACTCCTGTACTCCACCACCGCAAAAGCGCAGGCAGAGTCGACAGTGGAGCAGCAGCAGCCAACTCACCGCAGTGAAGACATGCGGTGAGTAGGTCTAAGTACATTGACTTCAGCTACATTATTCGCTTAGCTGAAGTTGCGTAACTTAGATCGATCCCCCACAGTGTAGACCAAGCCTCAGTTACTGCTTTGGCAAAGGAGTTTACTACTATTCCTATAGTTGGAACTCAGAGCTGCCCAGTTACATATTATCCTGAATTCTATGGCCTACCACCTGCCATTCTGACAATTCTGTGGTTCGGAGCAAGATATTTGATTTCAGCTACTTGTAGGATAGATTGTGTTATCCCTGTAGTCCCATAGAGTAATAGAAACACTTGTTTGGGTAAAGCAGCTTTGGTTATTCCCCTTCCCACAATTATTTATTTGTTTCTACTGCCACAGCCAAGCCTGAGAGGCTTTGAACTATGGATTTTATTAGAAGTTGGAGGCAAGGAATGGGGATGTAAATAGAATGTACTGGTAGAGGTGAATTTAGCTGTGCATTAACCGGGCCCACTATGGTATATTTAGGACAAGTGGGGACATTGTTCAGCTGCTAATATATTTTGCATCTATTTCTCTTATTTTAGGACACAGTGTACATTAGCTGAGAGATCAGACTCTCAGATTCAGTGATCAGCCCCAAGAAGGCCATGTAATGCTAATCCCCTCTTCAGTGAGTATTCAAGTTCTCCTTAATTCTAGCTTGTGTGTACATTAAGGATGGTGTGGGAGAGGGTCCGTAAGGGCTCAAATGTATGTAAGGAATAGTGCTGCCACCTTCCTGAAAATGCAGACTGCAGTATCAGCCTATTCATCACTGGCAAGGAGGGTTTGGACCTGCTGCCTTGGCCTACCTCTGGGCTGCCCTCTGCAACCCCCAGTACCTCTTGGCCCAATGCTAGGCCGTAGCCTGGGGCTTTCCAGGCTGGAGCTCCCCAGCTCCTCAGCCTTTCCCCAGCCCTGCACCACTCAGGTACCCTGTCTCTAGCTCGCTGCAGCCAGGCCTTCTCCCTCTGAAGGCAGAGATAGACTTCTGAGTTCCTGGCTCCCAGCCTCTTTATACAGGCCAGCTGGGCTCTGATTGGGGCGTGGCCCAGCTACAGCTACTTCCCCAATCAGCCCAGTAGCTGCTTCTCCCTGCAACAGCCTTCTCCCAGGGCTATTCCAAACCCCTCAGGGCAGGAGCGGGTATCCACCCCACTACAGAGAGTGACACCCCTGGCCCTCTGGACCTTTTCATCGGGCCCCTGCCCCATGGACCCAACCGGCCCCCCCGCCCCTTCTCCATGAGCCGGATGCACGACTTGCAGCCGGTTCGTTTCCAAACCACGCCAAGGAAACATCTATACACGCTCGTGCTCCACACCCTTCACTTCCTCACCCTCGTGTCCCGCTCCGATACAAAGTGGCGGAACCTCCTACCACCTGTTGAGGGTGAGAAGCCCTGGTGGGCCAGCCTATATTCCACCCTGGTTCCGAGGCCCACCGCGGATATCAGCTGGCAGCTCCTTCATGGGGCCATGAGCACGGGCATGTACTTGGCGCAGTTTACCCCTGTCCTGGATACCTGTCCTTTCTGCAGCGTGAGGGAGACCCTGGCTCACATTTACTTGGAGTGCGCCAGGTTGCAGCCCCTACACCTGCTCTTCACCGATATTATGTTCCGTTTTTGGTTGCACTTTTCCCCTCACCTTCTCATTTACGCACGTATCCAGGCAGAGTTTCTCTGGGTGGCGTCTACTGGTTCCCTTGACGCCTTTGAGGAGCAGTGGGCGCTGTCCGGGATTCTCTGCTCAGTGTCCCCGTCAGGTTCCCTTCTTTTGACCCTTTGACTGCACTCCTGTCCCTGTTTTTACATTAGTTGTTCCCTGTATTCATTTGGGTTTCAGGCCTGTGGATCCTCCCCTTAGGCTGGGGGGGGACCCTTTAGCAGTGGACCCCAATAAGTACATCCACTTTGAATCATCACCCTAAATAATCCTTCCCCATCCTATGTGTTGACATATTTCAAATAATTGCTGATTGCTATCATTTCCCTTCCCCTCTCTGCCCCTGTTTCTCACCAAGTTCTGGGTCTTGGAGACACTGAATTTTCCTTGTCCTGTAGGAAGGGAATGCATAGTCTTGTTTTATATGGTAAGTTGGTGTTATTCAATAGAATTCTCTTTGCAATACAGGAAATCTCTTGTATTGTCTTTGTCTCTTAATTTTACTCCATAAATCAGTCCATCAAACACCTTGATCATTTTTATATATTCTGGATTTTGAAGACAGGAAAATGGACAAATAGGGAACCAAAATTCTTTATCTAGCCATTGGTACAGCTACCTGTCAACCAGGAGTTTCAGAGTACAAGCCATCAGACCTCAGTGAAGATGGACTGTAGAAACAGAGTTAGAATTGTGAAGCATAGAGCGATTTGACTAGCAGTATGTTCTTTCTGCAAAACTGAATTCTGGCAATGCTAAAATTGTTTCAGCTATACAATTTCATGGTTTGGGAATAAAGGCAGTTTTAGAACATATACGTAATTATATTCTGAAATACTAAGAAAATTTATTGCTAGGTGAAAAATTGAAAATTGTCAATATTGCCATTTTATAGTGTTACCCATAAAAGCTAATATTGCATATTTGACATAGTTTGCTTTCACAAATTAACCACTTAATTTTTTTTATTATTATAGATAAGAGTTTGTCTCAGGAAATAGAATTAGAAACACAACAAGCAGAGATTCGGGATTTAAAAAGCAATAATAAATTGCTTGAGGATTCAGTAAAGGAGCTACAACTTGTGTTTGACACGTTGAATTTGGAGAAAAAAAGACATGTCTACAATGCTTTCCTTACATGAAAAAGAAATTGAGGACCTTACTGAAGAAAATGGAACCCTTAAAGGCATCAACAAGGCTTTAGAACAATAAAAAGTAGACTTACTAGAAACAAACATACTTCTTTCTAATAGTTTAAACGAAAGAGAAAAAGGCATTTCTGAGTTGTCCAGAAGACATAAGGAGGAAAGACTGTCACTCATTGAAAGATATGAAGAAATTGAAAAAGAACTTGTAGATCTACACGGAAAATACAAATCAATGGAAGAAAAAAGTGCCAACATAGAAGGCATTTTAAGACAGCAAAAAAGTCACTTTCAGGAGAGTAAAGCAGAATCAGAACAAGAGAAAAAAAAATACAGGGCCTGATTTGACAGGTGTGCTCAGATGCCACCAACTGGATCAGGACTTTTAGATGAGTTTACACAAAACAGCTGGGGAGAAAGAGGGACAGAGAGCAGCTCTCTTATAACCTTTAGCCTAGTGGTTAGAGTACTCACCCAAGATGTGGAAGACAACCCCCCACCCATTCAAGTCCCCCATCCCCAACCTCCTGAGGGGAAGCAGGGATTTGTATAGGGATTTGCCACATCTGAGGTGAGAACCCTAAACACTATGATATGAAATATTCTGACATGGGGCTCCCTCAGTCTCTTCTATTGAAGTTTTTCAACTTAAATTAAGTAATTATATATTAATGGGGCTAGACAAAGTTAAATGACACTATACCTTAGTGATTAGAGCACTCACCTGAGCGATGTAGATCCCTGTTAAAATTCCTTCTCCTCATCAGGCAGAGGAGGGACTTGAACTGGGGGTCTCCCACATCCCATAACCACTAAACTAAAGGTTATAAAGGAAGGCTCCCTCCACCACCTGCAACTGTTGCGTTAACTCAACTAATGGGCCCAATCCTGTAAGCAGCCTCTGGGCATGCCTACCTGATCAGGCCCAGCATGCAATTTAGGTGGACAAATGCCTGTCTTCCCTGGTTTGTGGATCAGTCTGGAGCATAGATAGAAGATAGCGTCTGGGCGCCTACAGTGAGGCAGCAGAGCACATGCACACAGGCAGAAATGTAGGCACCTAGGGTACTCCCTCTGCACATGATTCGGCACTGAATTAGTTTAGGAACGTGCAGGGGTAAGCAGTAGTCAAAGGGGAGTTTTGTGGATCTCAGTGGGGCCTAAAAATGGAATTTAGGCACCTAAGTACCTTTGTGGATCCCACCTCTAACTCCCATTGGTTGCAGTGGGAATTAGATGACAACATTCATTTGAGGATCTGGGTCTTGGTCACTAATTTTATGCTCATTCATGTAGGGAAGAGTTTTATTCTTTGGTTTAGTCAGAAAAGTTATAAAACGATAAAACAAATCTGAAACATGGCCTCAGACAGGCAATGAAAAGTCATTAGGGCAGGATATTGGATATTAAATACCATTTAGCTGCAGACTTGGCAATACAATTAAAGCCTTAATTAACCAAAGTCACACACTTATCACAGCACATAACTGAAGTTCTCTTCTCTTGGTTGCTTCATAATCCTCAAGTGGCTCCTTCAGCCATTTGCCTTTTTTATGCAAGCAAATGACAGCTCTGGAAGAAAAGATCTCTTGACTCAGGTTAAGATTAGTAATGAAATTGAGGGTTTTTCCTTGTGAATCCTGAGTAGCTCTCCTTCAAGAAGAAGCATTTCTTTTGCTGCCATTTACTAAATCCCTATAATCCTCTTTATATAGGACCACTTCAACATCACTATTGCCAATTTCTCCCTTCCATCTCTATTCTGCAAAAGAATCTTGAGATTGCAGAATCTAAATGCTTGATTAGTAACCATTTGGATTAACCCTTTTTCTTCTGTAATCTCTATTTCAGGAGAGATGGATTCGGGGTTAAGATCCAGTCCCAGAAGCCCAGGGATGCGAGTTATAATTCAGGCTTTGCAGTGTAACTGTGAGCAAGTTTAGCACTGTGTATTTTACCTCATTTTTTTCCCCATCTTCAAAAGGAGGATATCATAGAAATTGCCATAACAAATCAAACCCACGAGCCACACAGTCCAGTGTCCTGTTCCCATAGAGGCCAGTGTTAGCTGCTTCAGAGAAAGGTGCAACAAACCCAAAGATGGACAGTTATGGAGTAACCTGCCCATAGGAAAGAGTTCTTCCTAACCCAGACAGCCAGTGGCTGGTTTATGCCCTCCTGCATGAAGGTTTACACCCTTGATAACATTTTTTCTAGCCTATCTAATCACTGTGAATGTTGGCTTTATTCTGTATAAAAAGTGACTAATCCTTATGTTTATGTTTTAAACATGCTAATATCTTGGCCTGAGTGATATCTCAATTGAATCTCACTGTTAAACATGTTAATTATGCATCATGTTTTACAAAAAAAAGTTTCCTTTTTATCCATTTTTTTAAAATGTTGCCTATTTTCTTACCTTGCTTAACTCCCAGGAGTAGTGACACACTAAACTAATTACTGTTTGTAAAGCACGTTGAGATCTTTAATCTTAGTAGCCAGCATAGTATAACTGCTTTTGAATGAAAAAACAATATGTAGATCTTGTGCTGGGTTAGCGTGCTATTTCAACTGTTTATGCAAAACTGCATCTATTTGCTCTGTTGCTACTGTAGCTAAAACCAGACTGAATCTAATGAAGGTTCCCCTTACAAGCAGGGTCATTTATCAGGTTCTCCTTAATGACTGTATTCATTCATTAGCACTCTCTTGAGGCTCCAGTGATTTTTTGATTCTAGCTAATAATCAAAACTTCCAGAGTCCAGGCTGGATTCCAACCTCATGCTGTTTATCCACTGCTGTATTGCCACTGACTTGAGGAGAATTACTCCTGATGCACACCAGTGTAAATAAAGGGGCAGGGAGAAGGGAATGAGGCTGCCTGTGCTTCTCCTGCAGGATTCAGTGTTTCTTAGACACTGTTTCCCTTTGATCTTTACTACTGTTTTCTCACAGCCCTGTGGACTCTAAGATTGTAGCACTTCTCATTATGTCTAATAGTGTTCTTTGTTTCTTAAGGACGTTCTTACTTTTCCTATAGCAAGAACAAAATACTTAGCTTCGCCATCTCAAAGAATATTCCCAGTACAGTGAATTTACACACATCACATGCTTTTAAATTGGATAGTTACATTATACTCATTTTACAAGGTGGGCCCTTAGGGACAGAGAAGTCAAGTGACAGGTCTAGCATCACAGTGGGATTGTGTAGGAGTGCCTTACCTCTTTCTGCTGGGTACAGTTGCTACCTCAGTTTCCCAGTTGTTCCCAGCTTGTCTGGCAGGAAGGGCAGTTTTGTGCTCTAGGCATACTGGAGAAAGTCAGGGTACACAGACTTCCACATATGAAAGTACCTGGGGGTGTGTAAAGCCCACTCTAGAGCTTCATTCTCTGCTGTCTCAAAGAGGGTGGTCTATGAAAACCCAGTCTTCATTAATGGACCGCACCTGACCCACTGCCAATCTCCCTCTGACCTGAATTAACCCCTTCCCTGCTCTCTACTTGTATAAAGCTTCTACTCACCATTAGAGGAAGTAAGGGCTAGATCTAGAATTAGAACTCAGGAATTCCTGGTTCCATGTTCAGAGCAGTTTCTTGCATTGCTCTCAGCATCAGAAAAATGAGGTGCATTGTCAGGCTTTACAAAAAAACACTCTTGTATTGCATTAGCACAACTCCACCACAGCAAAATGTTGTTGCATTCAAATTTTGCAGTGCAATAGACATTGCTCATGTGCTGGGGGTTTTTTTGGTTTTTGTTTTTTTTTTTTTTTTTTTGAGTGTAAAAAGTAATCAAAATAAAATAGATTATATAATAAAATACAGAAGGGAATATCTGGATTATTAAACAAGAAAATTGACTTGAAACAGGCAGCAGCTTGGGTTCCTGCATCTCCTCTAGGAGCCAGCCTAAACTGTGTTTTCTGCCTTCAGTGTCAGAGTGGGGAGGCATATTTGTATATTCAGATATACCCATACCATTTGTGTACACAAACTGTACCTGGAACTTGGTTCCAATCTCTAATTAGCGTAACCTTCCTGTAGGGGTACCTATCATATAAATGAACTGGTATAAAATACAATTATTGGTTAATATGTATGGACCAGAGATTTAAAGTCAGCTCCCTGAAAGGCGGTGAAACCATCTAATTTGGTCTCTTAGCCCTGTAAGAATTCAGTCAGCTATCTTGCAGAACTGTTGAGGGGGATACAGAAGAAGGATACAAACAACTGCAGCAGGAGTCGCAGTATAAAGAGCACTATAGTAATCAAGCTAAAATTGTCCTAGTTAATGTGTGACATATATCCAATTCCCCCACAAACTAATTATTTCACCTCTTTTGAGGAGCTAAGGCAACAAAATGATAGAGTACTGTTTGCTGCTTGAGTCCGAACATGCTCATGGTGATAGAGAGCAAGCTGTCAGGAAGGGTCCTTCTTTGCAAACTGACGTAATGGTTTAGACCCCAGCTTACTGGAAGATGAAAGATAGTTACAGCACATGAATGGCCATTTTAATCACTTTTCTCAAGACTGTAAATGCTAACTTGGACTGATAGGAGAAAATAACCATCCAAAAAATGAAGATGAGTCATGACACTTCGAGGTGGCATTCCATCTTCTCATAAAGGGGACATGTTGAGAAAACACTGCTGCAGAGTCAGCAATACTAGCATCATATCAGGTCATTTTGATAAAAGATGTACACAGGATGGAATTGGTAGCCAGACCCGAACAGATGTGTTGAGAGCTTTGTTCCATTTGCGAAACTGCTTGAACAAACATTTTGGTCACTTAGAAGAGTGGAGAGCAAACAATCTGGAGTTACACTAGCAGGACTGAGGAAAACAATGTAGGTGGGAAAAAAACATAGTCAAAGTCAAAAACAAACTGAATCACATCCCCTGGATATGTGCATAAAACTTACTCGTATATTGTGGCCTGGGGGGAAAACTGCAAAGAGGAGCCAGCCAAAGACTCCAGCCAGCAGAAGCATCCAAAGCAGGGACTGCTATATTGCAGGGAGAGAGGGTAAAATGGGGCCCAGCCAGGGTCACACCTCCCTCCAGCATCCTTTTGGACCCAGAACTGGGCAGGGGAGATCTCTACCCAACCCTGCGGGCACTAGGACCCAAGTGGTGTATCCCATTGCCTCAACCATGTAGCCTTTTCGGGAAACTGCAGAGAGTATCCAGCCGGTAGGAGCAGAAGCAGGCAAAGCAGGGGACCTTCAGCCACTGAGATCTTTTACAGTTTGGGCTGGACTCTGACCTGTGCTCACTGTTTGCTCCAGCTGTTTCCTCCATCTGACACCTCACAATCTCTTCACCTTAGCTTCATTCCACACCTCTCCTTTATTCCCTCTTCGCCACACCCTGTCCCCTTAACCCCCTTCCATTTAGCTGATCCCCTCCTAACTCACAAATATTATGGCACTAGCATGACATTTTCTGCCATCACATAGTTCACTCTGCTTGTGTGTTCTGCCCAGGCTTCCTGGCACTGGGGAGAGGAGCATGTAACCCCCGTTTGTTGATATAAAACATTGCCGTGGTGTTGTCCATGAGGACTGATACACATCTCCCTCATATATGGACTCTGAAAGCCTGGCACGCCAGGTGCACCGCTCTCAGTTCTCTGACATTGATATGCAGAGCAAGGTCCACTGAGACCAGAGGCCTTGTGTTCTGAGGTCTCCCAAATGTGCCCCCCATCCCAAATCTGACACATCTATCGCTAACAAGAGGGATGGCTGTGGGCTGGTGAAGGGGACCCCTGCACATACTACCTGTAGGTTGAGCCACCACAGGAGGGAGTCTAGTATCAGGCAAAGCAGGGTTATGATACTGTCTAAAGCGTCTCGAACTGGTTGATATACTGACGCTAGCCATGACTGAAGTGGGCGAAGCCTGAGTCTGGCAAGTTGTATTGCGTAGGTACAAGTGGCCATATGCCCCAACAGTTTCAGGCAATTCATTGCTGTAGTGGTGGGAAACTGCCTGAGGCCCCGTATTATGTCGCCCAGTGACAAAAAAACTGGATTCTGGGAGGTATGCCCTGGCTTGAGTCGAATCTACCTCTGCCCCTATAAACTCTATCCTCTGTACAGGGGAGAGAGTCGATTTGGCCTCGTTTAGAGGGAGACCCAGTTCATCAAACGTCCTTCTTATGAGGCCAACCTGTGCCTCCACTCGAGATCTGGAGTGGCCTTTGATCAGCCAGTCATCGAGATACGGGAACACCTTTACCTGCTACTTGCACAGGAACGCCGCCACGACTGCCATGCACTTGGTGAACACCCGACATGCCGCTGACAGGCCAAATGAGAAGACAATAAATTGATAGTGGCTGTTGTTCATCACAAACCTGAGGTATTTTCTGTGGGGTGGAATTATCGCTAGGTGAAAGTATGCGTCCTTCAAGTCGAAGGTGGCATACCAGTCTCCTGAATCCAATGAGGGGATAATGGAGGCCAAAGAAACCATGTGGAACTTCAGTTTTTTGATGAACTTGTTGTGTTCTTGCAGGTCTATGATGGGCCTGAGCCCACTCTTGGCTTTCGGTATTAGGAAATACCGGGAGTAGAAGCCCTTGCCCCTTTGCTCCCAAGGAACCTCTTCCACTGCCCCTACAGAGAGGAGCAAAGAAGTTGTTCATGAGAGGGGTCCCTGAAGAGAGATGGGAAGGGGGGTGGAAGAGTAGGAGGGCACAGAATTGGATGGAATATCCCCTTTCTTCTGTGTGGAGCACTCAGCGGTCTGAAATGATATGGAACCATGTATGGTAGAAAGGGATAGTTGGGACGAAAAGGTAAGTAAGGTTGGATCCAGTTCCAGCACTGGTGTACCATCCTCGATCACACCCTGAAAAGGCTGGTCTGGTGCCAGGTGGTGGCTCGGTCTGGCCCAAGCCCTGACCTGAGGAGGGGGGCTGCCTTCTTCTACCACTCCTATTCTTCCTACGAGGAGCATCCTCACGGTTCTGAGCTCGGTAGAACCTAGAGGGAGGCTGCGGCCAGAAATGCCCTCGTTGAGTGGCGGGAGTATGGAGCCCCAAAGATCTGAAGGTGGCCCTTGAGTCTTTCAGACTATGCAGTCTTATCTGTCTTATCGGAGAAGAGGGCCAACCCCTTGAAGGGGAAGTCCTGGATTGTTTGTTGGATCTCATGGGGCAGACCAGAGACCTGCAACCAGGAACTCCTCCTCATGACAACCCCCGTGTCCATTGTACATGAGGCTGCATCTGCTGCGTCCAATGCTGCCTGTAGGGATGCTCGGGAGACCAGCTTTCCCTCCTCCACTAAGGAGGAGCTCCGCAAACTTGGCCATCGCAGCACATATTGTGTGCGTATCTGCTCACAATGGCCTGTTGATTTGAAATGCGGAGCTATAGTCCCCCCA